TGTTCCCCGTCATTCGTTCCCATTTATCTTCACTTCCCCACCCTCCCCTTAAAGTGAGACGTGAGAATGCGCTGGTCAACGTGCCTTACCAGCGCCCTCCTCGCGTCCACAGCACCGCTGGCCGCTGCAACCAGACTCATTGAATCAAATGCTCTAAATATCTGCCAGGATAGCAACAATTTTACTGCCACCTACTTCAGCGTCCGCTTCACTCCCGATAATCGTTCTTTGGTTCTGAGTTTCGATGGCGTGGCCGCCATCTCCGGCAAAGTCACCGCCGATCTTTCCGTCGACGTCTATGGCTACCAGTTGACTGGCGAGACGTTGGACCCATGTAAAATGAATATAGAGGGTCTCTGTCCGATGAGCGCGGGAGCCATCAACGTTCAGAACACCCCAATCCAGATTCCGGAAGATGTGGTGCGCCGGATCCCGGGTCTGTAGTATCCCGCGCGCATTGATTCATCGTCTAGTGTTAACAATCTTGCAGGTATCGCATACACTGTGCCAGACCTTGATGCCACCGTTCGGGTTTACATCAACTCCACAGATACCGGCACTAGTATTACATGTCTCGAAGCGACCTTGTCGAATGGAAAAACAGTCTACCAGAAAGGAGTCGGATGGACGACAGCGGTGATCTCCGGCGTCGGGCTTATCGCTTCAGCTGTCGCAGCTGGTCTGGGCAACTCGAACACTGCTGCCCATGTCGCCGCTAACGTGCTGGCCTTTTTCAGCTTCATGCAATCACAGGCCATGTTTGGGATGATCTCGGTCCACATGCCGCCGATCGTGGAAGCATGGACCCAGAACATGCAATGGAGCATGGGGATCATCCACGTTAAGTTCTTGGATACCATTTGCACCTGGTACCAGAGGGCAACCGGTGGTACGCCGTCGACTGTCTTGTCGGAGCTCTCGACTACGTCTGTTGAAGTTCTCAAAAAGCGATCTTTCGATAGCGTGACCAATGTATTCAAAAGACAATACGCTCAGTCGGAGACCGCCACTACCGGTACCACAGAGGTGCGGGGTATCGATCGCGTGGGATTCAGGGCCGGCATTGAGGGGACCAACATCTTCCTCAACGGCTTCATCTTCTTTGTCTTTTTCGTCGCGGTGGTGATGATTATCGTCGGGTTACTCAAGGTGGGAAGCCGCTTCCTGGCGAAGAAGGGAAAGACCAAAACCGACAAGTTTGGGGACTTTCATGTGTCTAAAGGTATCCTTTATCGGCTTATTTTCATCGGATTTCCGCAGATGTGCGTCCTTTGTCTGTGGGAATTTACGCAGCATGATTCGGCAGCCGAAGTCGTCCTGGCGGTGGTCATGCTAGTTTCCATGATCTGCACGCTCGGCTGGGCTGCCTTCCGAGTCATCATCCTCGCGCGGAGGTCGGTAGCAATGCATCGAAACCCAGCCTATATTCTCTACTCGGATGAGGCCTGTCTGAACAAGCTGGGATTTCTGTATGTACATTACCGAGCCACCGCCTACTACTTCCTCGTGTTCGCGCTACTGTACATCTTCGTCAAGGCGATGTTCATCAGTCTGAGCCAACCGGCGCCGGTTGTGCAGACGGTGGCCATGGTGATTATCGAGACCTCGGCGCTTATTGGAATTAGTATCGTGCGTCCATGGATGGACAAAAAGACCAATGGCTACAACATTGCCATCGCATCCATCAACTTCGCAAATTCCATCCTGTTGCTTTTCTTTTCCAACGTCTTCGACCAGCCCGGCATCGTGACCGGTGTGATGGGTGTCGTTTTCTTTGTGTACAATGCCGCCTTTGCACTGATTCTGCTCTTCCTTGTTCTTTACAGTTCTGTGTACGCCATCTTCTCGAAGGATCCGGACTTGCGCTATCGACCGATGCGGGACGATCGAGGATCTTTTGCCAAGTCGGGGAGCCAGTTGATCACAGAGCTCGATGCGCTGGGTACGACTGCTCGGGGAGAGGGGACTCCGGAAATGTGGAACAAAGGCAGTCTGCTTGATGACACTGGATCTGTTGCCAGCGAGGGGCTGCATCGAAGTCACCAAGATCTGGCCCGGGACACTGCTCCTGGTCGTGAAATGTCCGAGACGCCCGTCAGCCAGGCGAATTTGTTTCCCATCAGCCGAGGGAGCAGCCCTGTTCATAGAGCGGCGTCACTGAATGCCGCGGGTGTGCGTCGCAGTCTGTTGAGTGACAGCGATAATGCATCTGCGACTCATCCGCATGCAAACCTATGATGGATCTGATGGATAGGACAACTGGGGCGTTATCTTACTTTAAAATGTATCTAAGTTATATCTTGCGCGTGCTAGTTCTATTTGGTCTGGTTTTAACATACGTGAACTTGTAGGTTCTTCTCTGCATAACACCGCGCGGCACACCTCGGGTGTTGTGGATCTTCAGCGACGGGCTAACCCGACCCCCGTGGGGAATGCAGCGAACAGACCCTGTAGAGCCATCAGGCAACGCCCGGCGTTTCCGGCTGTCTCCCGTCTCTCTTGCCGAGTCTCCTCTTTCCACCTCTTCTCCTCGTTGTCTCCTCTTTTCATCTCTAGGACCCATCTTTTTCATTCTCTCGATCCACTGCCCACATGCCGATGTCTGCCAAGTCATGCCGCATTGCAGTTCATCTACCAACCAGCCAACAGCACGATTGCCTCGTCCCCACGCGCGTCATTTCCGTCCATCACCCCGATCCAAGTAGCAGTGGAGACCAGGGATATGCGTCATTGTTCGGAAGGATGATCTACCGATAACTTTGATCGTTGCTACCATCGGCTGTTATTGTACCGACTGAGCTTGATGGCCGATATTTAGCCGTGCAGGAAGCCAGTTTGAGACACCCAATTCACAAGCTCATCACAATGTGGTCTTCCTGGCTGCTGTCGGCCTTACTGGCCACTGAAGCGTTGGCCGTACCTTATGAGGAGTACATTTTAGCCCCGAGCTCTCGCGACTTGGCTCCTGCGTCCGTTCGCCAGGTGAACGGTTCCGTCACCAATGCGGCCGCTTTGACCGGTGCTGGCGGACAGGCCACTTTCAACGGCGTCTCGTCGGTGACATACGATTTTGGCATCAACGTTGCTGGTGTCGTGTCTGTGGATGTCGCTTCCGCCTCCTCCGAGTCCGCCTTTATCGGCGTGACCTTCACCGAGTCTAGTATGTGGATTAGTAACGAGGCATGCGATGCTACCCAGGATGCGGGTCTTGACACTCCGCTCTGGTTTGCTGTCGGACAGGGAGCGGGTGTGTATACAGTGGAGAAGAAGTACGACCGGGGTGCCTTCCGGTATATGACCGTTGTTAGCAACACCACCGCCACGGTCTCCCTCAACAGCGTCAAGATCAACTATACGGCTTCTCCCACGCAGGATCTCCGTGCGTACACGGGGTACTTCCACAGCAATGATGAACTCCTCAACCGCATCTGGTATGCCGGTGCGTATACCTTACAACTATGCAGTATCGATCCGACTACAGGAGACGCTTTGGTGGGACTGGGCGTCGTCACCTCGTCTGAGACCATCACACTTCCGCAGACGGATAAGTGGTGGAATAACTACACCATCACCAATGGCAGCAGTACCTTGACGGATGGAGCCAAACGTGACCGGCTTGTCTGGCCAGGAGATATGTCCATTGCTTTGGAGAGCGTGGCTGTCAGTACCGAGGACCTGTATAGTGTCCGCACGGCTTTGGAATCTTTGTATGCTCTCCAGAAACCCGATGGCCGACTTCCTTATGCTGGAAAGCCATTCTACGACACGGTCAGCTTCACCTATCATCTGCACAGCCTGGTTGGAGCGGCATCTTATTACCAATACACTGGGGACCGTGCGTGGTTGACCCGGTACTGGGGTCAGTACAAGAAGGGTGTGCAATGGGCGTTGTCGAGCGTGGACAGTACAGGTCTGGCCAATATCACAGCCAGTGCTGACTGGCTGAGGTTTGGCATGGGGGCACATGTAAGTATACCCCAAAAGACATCAGTGCAATGCTAACGAGAACAGAACATCGAAGCGAACGCAATCCTGTACTATGTTCTCAATGATGCTATCTCTCTCGCCCAGGCTCTGAATGACAACGCACCCATCAGGAACTGGACCGCTACTGCAGCCCGGATCAAGACAGTGGCGAATGAGCTCCTCTGGGACGACAAGAACGGCCTCTACACCGACAACGAGACCACCACCCTGCACCCGCAAGACGGCAACTCCTGGGCTGTCAAGGCAAACCTCACCCTCTCGGCCAACCAGAGTGCCATTGTCTCTGAATCACTCGCTGCCCGCTGGGGACCATACGGAGCACCCGCCCCGGAAGCAGGCGCAACGGTGTCGCCTTTCATCGGCGGCTTCGAGCTGCAGGCCCACTACCAGGCCGGCCAGCCCGACCGCGCACTCGATCTACTGCGATTGCAGTGGGGATTCATGCTGGATGACCCGCGGATGACCAACTCGACTTTCATCGAGGGGTACTCCACGGACGGATCGCTGGTATACGCGCCGTACACCAATACGCCGCGAGTGTCGCACGCGCACGGGTGGTCCACGGGCCCGACGTCAGCGTTGACCATCTACACGGCCGGGTTGCGTGTCACCGGACCAGCGGGTGCGACCTGGCTGTATAAGCCACAGCCGGGCAATTTGACCCAAGTTGAAGCTGGGTTTAGCACCCGGCTGGGGTCGTTCGCGTCAAGCTTCAGCAGGTCAGGGGGTAGATATCAGGAACTGTCGTTCACCACGCCGAACGGAACGACTGGCTCAGTGGAGCTGGGAGATGTGAGTGGACAATTAGTCTCGGACCGGGGAGTGAAGGTGCAGTTAGTGGGAGGTAAGGCGAGTGGACTGCAGGGTGGGAAATGGCAGTTGAATGTGTAATGATTAGCAGTGAGCTGTGAGCTGAATATATGACGACGTCGGTGTGATGCCTTCACTACGGCAATATAAATGTTGAGCACCCCTCTAATTTGCCCAATCCACACCTACAAATTATACTCAAAATGAACCTCCTACTCCTCCTCTCATCCCTCCTCCTCACCACCACAACAACAGCCACAACCCTCATCCCCGACCCGGGAAACCGCATCACCATCCCAACCTGGCACATCCAACCCACCAACACCACATACCCCCCAAACACACTCAACCTAAACCTCACCACCCCAGATTCCCACTCCACAATCCTCGCCACCCTCCTCCACCCTCAAAACCAACCGAACCCCATCATCCCGCCCTACAACGAATCCGGCCTCTTCCACAGCACCACCCTCTCCACTATCCCCACAACCCCCTTCCAATCCCCCTGGCTCTACACCACCACCCTCACCCTTCCCAATTCCCAGTCCCACTTAAACAAAAACACAACCATCATCCTCTCAACCCACGGCATCTCCTCCCACGGGGACATCTTCATCAACGGCGCCCAAATAGGTTCTATATCTGGTGCCTATAACGGCCAGGAATATGATATATCCCCACAGCTAAGAGAGGGGGTAGAGAATGAGGTGCAAGTGAAAGTGTACCCCGTGGATTATACAAGGGATTTTGGTATCGGCTGGGCGGATTGGAATCCCTCGCCGCCGGATAAGGGCATGGGGGTTTGGAGGGGGGTGGAGGTTAGGGGGGTATATGGGGTTGCGGGTGGTTGTTGGGGAGATAGAAGGAGGTAGTGGGGGAAAGGACGTGAAGGTGAGGGTTAGGGTTGATGTGAGGAATTGGGGGGAGGGGAGTGTTAGGGGAGTGTTTGGAGGGAGGGTGTTTGATAATACTACTGATGATACTAGTTCTGGAGTGCAGTTTGCTGAAGCTGTCACTCTACGAGGTGGGGAAGTTACTACAGTTGAAGCAGAGGTTACCATCAAGAATCCAAAGATATGGTGGCCCGCTACCTGGGGAAAGCAGGACATGTACACTGTCTCTGCGAACTTCACTCTCAGTGACGGAACATTATCCGATACAGCGGAGTGCTCATTCGGGATCCGGTCTGTCACTGCGACATTTACCGAACACGGGGATGAAAAAGATGCCTCGTTCAGAGTGAACGGATACCCCTTCCACGTCCGAGGCGCAGGATACAGTCCTGATATATTCCTCCGGTTCGATATAGACCGTGTACGCACACTCCTACAAGCTGTGCTAGATATGGGGCTTAACACCATCCGACTTGAGGGAAAACTCGAACACCCACTGTTCTATGATCTGGCCGACAGAATGGGCATCATGGTGTTGGCGGGATGGGAGTGTTGCGATAAGTGGGAGGCGTGGGAGGTATACCCCCTTAATCATCTCTACCCTGTTGACAATATACTAATAGGAGGGTATAGTACAACACCGACCTCCAACCCTCCCACCCCTGGACAAACCACGACTACCTAACCGCCACCTCAATGCTCACCCACACATCCCTCCTTCTCCAACCCCACCCCTCCATTCTCGCCTTCCTCCTCGGCTCCGACTACCCCCCCAACCCCCGTGCCTTTACCCTCTACACAACAGCCCTAAACCACTCCGACTGGACCGCCCCCATTATCTCCTCCGCCTCTGCCCGCATCCACCCCTCCGGAATGAAAATGCTCGGTCCTTACGACTGGGTGCCCCCCAACTACTGGTACGGCGAGCGCCTCGGCGCAGCATACGGCTTCGGTTCAGAGCAAGGCGCAGGTGTAGGGACTCCCGAACTACCCAGTCTGCGACGGTTTCTCTCCGAGGAAGAGCTAGATCGTCTGTGGAAAGACAAGAATGCAGCGATGTACCATATGTCTCCTGCTGGATCGCAGTTCCATACAAGGGGGGCGTATAATGCTGCGCTGTGGGGGAGATTCGGCAAGCCGACGTCGCTGGAGGAGTATGTGTTTCTGGCGCAGGTGGTGGATTATGAGGCCACTAGGGCGGAGTTTGAGGCGTTTGCGGTGAGGCAGAATAGATCTGGTGCTGATACTACTACTACTGGTGGTAATGGAGGGGGTAGGGCGGCGACGGGCGTGGTGTACTGGATGTTGAATAGTGCGTGGCCGAGTTTACATTGGCAGCTTGTGGATTATTATCTTAAGAGAGGGGGCGCGTATTATGGGGTGAAGGTTGGTGCGAGGGGGGTGCATGTTGCGGTGGATTATGAGAGTGGGGAGGTGTATGTGGTGAATCATGGGGTGAAGAGGGGGGAGGGGAGGGTGGTGGTTGTTGATGTTGTGGGGTTGGATGGGAAGAAGTTGTATCATGAGGAGGTGGAGGGTGTGGTGATGGGTCCGACGATGTCGAAGAAGGTTACGTCTGTTGTTCCTTGGGTTGGGGGGTGGGATGGGGTGGTCTTTCTGAGACTATTGTTGAAGGAGAGTGGGGGAAACGTGCTGAGTAGGAATGTGTATACCCTCCCTGGGCAACTTGATGTTCTGGATTGGGATGAGTCGACGTGGTATACGACGCCTGTTAGTGAGTATGCGGATTTCTCGGTGCTGAGGAAGTTACCTATGGTGGAGGTGGGAGTTAGTGGGAAGATGGGTGGTGGTGGAGGGGTGAGTGTCACGTTGGAGAATCAGGATAAGGCGCCGGCGTGGTTTGTGAGGATCAGCATGGTGGATGAGGCTGGTGGGGAGGTGGATGTGTGGTGGGAGGATAATTATGTGAGTGTGTTGGGGGGAGAGAAGGTGGTGGTGAGTGGGAGTGTGGATAACAGTAGGAAGATGGGGATAGGGAGGATGAGGGTTGTGGTGGAGGGGGGGAATGTGCGGAAAACGGGATGCTATATCTCTTGATTTACTTAAATCCTAAATAGTTAACAATTCTGAGTATGTTGATGAGTAGTATCCACATCTATACTATATCAACTGTATTTAGATACATCCAAATGTCCAAATCTAACTCCCATATAACCCAAACTAACAATTATGACCAGCATAATACCCAACTGCATCAGCACTGCATCACACTAAAACTGCTTCACCGTCTTCTGCAACCCCCCAAACCTCAACGGTTTCCTCGTATACTTGTCCGGCTCCTCCCTCGCCCCCTTCTTCCAATAGTCAAACTCCATCCACACATTCTCCTTCATCTGCTCGTCCATGGCCTCGAGGAATTCACCCAGATCCGGACTCAACGGGATAACTCCCGTCTCAAGCACGTACTGATCCCACAGCTTCAACAACACCTTCATCCTCTCCGGCTCATTCTCAGCCAAGTCGTGCACTTCGCCCGGATCGTTCCTCAGATTATACAGCTGCCAGCGCTCTGGTCCCTTCGGTTTCGGGATGTATACGATCTTCCAGTCGCCGTAGCGCAGGGCTGCACGACCACAGGTTTCCCAGCCCTGGATGAAGTCCTCTGGGTGGATTCGTGCCGCGCTGCCATTGGCCCAGGGGTAGATCGATTTCCCACGCATGGGAACGATCTCCCGTCCCTGGTATGTCGGTGCGGGGTGCTTGAGACCGGCCATATCCAGAATAGTAGGGGCGAGGTCCATGACCGTGGCGAACTGGTCTGTTATAGCACCAGCCTGGACTTGAGGAGACGTCTGTACTGAAGTAGGGAATCTAGCAAGGAAGGGAACGCGAACGCCTCCCTCCGTAGTGTATGCTTTATATAATCTGGACGGAGCGGTAGCTGCCTGCGCCCACCGCGGGCCGTACCAGATGAATGAGTTGTAGTTGCCCAGGTTCTCGAGAGAATTGTCGTAGTATTTCTGAAGATGAGGGAGGACTCCACTCTTCACCAGAGGGTATGCTTCGTAGGCTGCGCCCTCAGCACCATTGTCAGACATGAAGCAGACGAACGTATTGTCCAGCTCGTCAATGGAGGCAAGATAGTCGACGACCTTGCCGACGTTGGCGTCAATGCACTCGACCATACCGGCGAAGACTTCCATCGCGGTGGAGGACATCTTCTGTTCCTCCGGAGATAGCTCGGCCCACGGCTTAGCCTCGTCTTCCTCTGCAACCACAGGATGAGGCTCGACGCTGTCAGGAATCATGCCGAGGGCTTTGAGACGCTCGAGACGGCGTTGGCGCAGGACATCAGGACCTTCGTCGTAGACGCCGCGGTAGTGGTCGATGTACTCGCGGGGAGCTTGCAGGGGCCAGTGGGGCGCTGTGAAGGGGAGGTAGGCGAAGAAAGGCCGGTCATCGCCGCGTTCGTGCCAGTCTTTCAGGTAATCACGCATCTTGTCGCCGTAGCCGTCGGACGAGTACCATCCATCTGGGAGTTTCTTGACGTATTGGTCGTCTTCCGTGTGCAGGGCGATGTAACTGGCTTCGAGGAAGGTAGGGGTTTCGTCGGCGCCCTGGAGCTGGGGCTCGAAGGCGTAGTGGTTGGAGCAGGCTGGGAGGTGGGCGAGAGAACGGTCGAAGCCGCGACGGTAGGGCGAGCGCTCTGGGGTCAGACCCAGGTGCCATTTTCCTGCCATCAAGGTGTGGTAGCCCCCGTCGCGGAGGACTTCAGGGAGAGCGACGACGCGCTCATTAAGGTAGCCTTCGTAACCGGGCATACCGCGCTGAGGAGCGGTGCTCATGCCGCCGCCCTTGGGGTCATTCTGGCCAGAGATGTTCGTCCATTCGACGAGGTTACCCAGACCGGCGATGTGGTGGTCGGTGCCGGTCATGATCATGGCGCGGGTGGGGCTGTAGTTCTTTATTAGAATGGGTTGAAAGTATGATGCATGTATACAAGAAGGGGACGTACGAGCATGCTGCCGCAGCGTGAAAGTCTGTAAAGCGAACGCCCTCTTGGGCCAAACGGTTGAGGTTGGGAGTGCGAATCTCTCCTCCAAAGCAACCAATGTCAGAGAAGCCCAGATCATCGGCGACGACTACGAGGAAGTTGGGGCGTTTCGGAGCCATGATGTACGATATGAACAAAGGACTATTATGCAAGACTCACAGCTGATTAGAGCGACAAGACAGGGGGTTTTGGGGTATTTAAGTGGCATCTACCCCGTACTGTCCATCGGCTCTCGGCTGAGGCACGCGGCCTCGCCATTAATCGCAACCAGAAACCAGAATTGATGACGGGAGAGTATCAGATGGAGAGGGGCGTCACTATCCGATTGGCAAACCGCGTGAGGAGACGGTCAATCCGCAGTCAATCCGCATGTTGGAGCCAATGAGCGGATCACGCCATGATCCCCGCTTCTCACGCACTCGGCTGTCGGCTGCCTTGCCTTTTACGATCCTGGTCGGATGATCACTAAGTTGCTGTTCTACTCAAGAAGTAGAGTGGCAACTGACCGGAAAAGTTTTGGGATAGAGGCAAGTTGCCCGTTTTTGAGGTGTATTGCATCGCTGGTTCACGATTACTTAGCAGTGGCGGAAGAAGCACCCGCTGTAACAGTGTTATACCCTCACTGCCATTATATACTATACTGCCGACCCGTGATCATCAATGCTTATCGGCTGTTATCTTAGCAACGGTGGTCTACGATGCAGATAGTTCTGACAGATACTGGGGAATGCATAGTATCATATTATGATGTGGTCTACTCATCCCACACCACACTGCTCAACCCCGTCGATGTTCCAACCACTCCTGGTTCGCCGATCTGCACATTCGCCACCTCATCCCCCAGCTTTCCAGTCTGCGGGTCCCGCGTTACAATCGCAACATTCGACGACGATTGATCGCCAATCGCAACCAAATCTCCCGCCTTGTTGATCACAAACGTCCGGGGCACCTTGCCGTACGATGAGGTGAGCTCGTTCAAGGTGACCGTGTTATTCGAAGAATGGTCCAGATTTGCCATTGAGTCGTTGGGGGCGAAACCTTGATCGCTCCGGATCGACACATACAATGAGTTGCCCGCTTGACGGATTTCCGATGGCGTAGCCCCGTCCGGTAGCTGGCCGTCGGTGTACGGCTCGAAGGACTGAAACTCGTCGAAGCTGAGACAGCCATCGGAAGTGTAGGAGACCGTGAATCCTTTGAAGTGTCCGTCCAGCTCATCGACAATATACAAGATCTGACTGTCTTGCTGCCGAGTCTTTAGTTGTCTGGTGAGTGTAGAGTGCTCCGTCTGCCAGAAGAGGCCGTGTCTCGGTCCGCTGCCCTCCGGATAAGTCAGATCAGGGCAGGCCCCGTCCAACTCACCAGTAGACTTGTCCATGGCATAGACGCGGACGAGATCCGCTCCTAAGTCCGGCACGAGTATGAATGATCCAGTCGGGTCTAGGAGGACTTGATGAGGATGGGGCGCATTCTGCTGCGGGTTCTGTTTGGTTTCTGAGAGGGTGTAGCGGAAAACCTGGAGATTTTCATCTCCATCATTCAAAGGAAGGCGGAAAGTGGACATCGCAGAACCACCACTGCAAACATTAGATCACAACCATCAAGCCGAGGAAGATACATACTAGTGAGCGATGGCTAGATATTGAGTGCCGTCATCACCGCTATAGAAGATACTGTTTACCCCGCCCCCCGGTGCCGCAGCAGTGGCTATCTCCGTGAGGGTGCCGTCCTGGTCGGCCGCCAGAGTGGTCAGAGATCCATTGGTGGACGCATCACCAGACTCATCGGAGCAGTAAAGAATGCGCGAGGCCGAGTCGAAGGTGAGCCAGCTGGGCATCGAGCCACAAGTCTTGAGCGAGGAGGCGATGGACAGGGCGTAGGTGCCGTCGCTGTCCTGAAGGGAGAGGCTGTAGACGGACCCGTCATAGTGGGTAGCGTAGAGGTTGGTTGCTGTCGCCAGAGACAGACATGTTGCCAGCCAACTGAGAGCTAATTGTCGACCCATGTTGATTTTAGGTGGTGCTGTTGCATCGAGGGATGATGAGGTCAATAAATAGCCACCGCACGGGGCCAGGAATGGATCTGCATTCTGCGGGTGAATTATTCCAGGGACGGTAGGAGCGCTGCAGCTGCATGTCTACTGTCAGTAATGTACAGAAACTCTGTAGCCGAGGGTAGAAGCCTGTAGCTGAAGTACAGCATCTCCTCACTGTCTCAGTCTAGCCAGCCATTCTGTTTAATTCTCCAATCATTGAGGACAGACTGATGGAATCCCTTGCTTGGGTTTGAGGCCACCTGCACATTACTGTGATTGTAACAGATGAAGCAAGTCTTCCCATACAAAGCTAGCATACCATGACTTAACCAAGGCGAGAGGAGTAAAGAACATCAACAGACATCGCTTGCATACACCTTCCTGATCGGGCATCTTATCACGCCTATCGCGTGACCAAACAGTGCAAACACCTGAACCCTTGATAATGCATTTATTACTAAGCATACGCATCGGAAATCCGGAGATATCACGTGGCGATGTTCTCCGCGGTTCCTGGTATGTGGCTTACAAGCCAACATTTGCCAGTAACTCAGTCACTATACTGAGACTACACTCCAGCATGGGCTGGGTCGGGGTCGCCACACTCATTGCAACAGCATGCTTTTTGCTGTACCGCTTTCCCCCCGGAACCTGGGCTCCTGAGCCCCCGGCATCCAAACCACTCCCGAAACCCGTCAAACCCCCTGCGACAGAGGAGACACCAGTCAAAGGCGAAGCAAAGCCCCCTAACGATGAAGATGATGCCGCGAGCGACACCCAGACCACTCCCAAGGCAGTTCCATCCAGCGCACCTGCGGTGGAAGTACCTTCTTTCCGACTCGACGACAACGCCGATCAATCCCGCCCCTCAGTACCGCAAATCCAGACCAGCGCTCAAACTCAAACCACGATGAAACCACCATCTCAACCCCTAAGTCAGACGAAGATGGCAGACAGCACTCTTATGCCTCCCCCGCCCCCACCACAGCAATCGAACCCCGCAAAGAGCTCCTCCCTCATGCCTCCTCCGGCCCCGCCGCGTCTCCGCCCGATCGCATCGCAGACTACTTCTGCGCCCTCCCTCGCACCGGGGCGATATCCCCCACGCCCCAATAATACCACGAGCTCGAGCTCGTTGCGCCCACCACCCTCCGCTGCTGCTTCCCTGCGCGCCCCGCCGAGCAGCGGCCTCTCGAGCAGCACGCTCGCCCCGACGAAGGTGACCAAACCATCTAGCTCTTCGAAACGAGCGGTTCTCGAACCGGGCTACTCGCCGTTAGACTGGGCTGCGTTGACATCCAACCCAAATAACAAGTTGCGGGGAGAGAACCTCCCTCCGACACTGATCCGAGTAACGCCTTCGATGCTGAAAGCGCAGAATGGCCGCAAGGGCATGGACGCATGGACATCATACCAAGGGAAAGTCTACAACATCACACCGTACCTCCCCTTCCACCCCGGAGGTCGGGGAGAGCTTCTCCGCGGCGCGGGCAAAGACTCAGGGAAACTATTCTTCGAGATCCACCCCTGGGTGAACTGGGACGCTATACTGGGAGAATGTCTCGTGGGGATACTCGTCTCCGAGAACGACGAGTCGGATAATAAGCTAGATGCGATGGATTAATCCCTGTATACATAGACTCATGCTGTTGATCCGTGTACCTATTCTACACTTTAGAAGATGATACCCTAGAACGATACAAATAGAACAGAATCATATCGTTATACCCCACAATCCCATAATAAGAAAGAAGAAAGAAGATAAGATTACAACTCATCCTTCTTAACCCCCTGAATACCCACCAACTCTGTCTCAAAAATCAACGTCGCACCGCCAGGAATCGGCCCAATGCCCCGATCGCCGTATCCCAACTCAGGCGGAATCGTCAACGTGCGCTTCTCTCCAATGCACATGTCCTGGAGACCTTGGTCCCATCTACACAGAAACAAACCAATTAGCCCAGTGTCATCCCACATATACCAAACAAAACAACCAAGGCAAAGAAAACAAGGAGTGTGATGAGAATACATACCCCTTAATAACCCTCCCAGCCCCCAATTTAAACTTCAACGGAGTGCCGCGGTTATAACTAGCATCGAACTCGGATCCGTCAGACGCGAGCTTGCCCCGGTAGTGCATGGACACTGTATCTCCATCTTGGGTCTTGCGGGTGCATTCGACCGAGTGGGTGACTTCGATTCCGAGGTTGGAGGCGGACGCGAAGGTGGTGAGGGAGAGGGCGAGGATGGTGGCGAGGGTTGGGAGGCGCATTTTGGTGTGGTATAGTTGAATGGATGAATGGGGTGATTTGTTGGAGTGGGGTGAGAGTTGTAGCTTGGGAGGAGTAAATTGAATTGGGCAGATGCGGATACGTATACTTAAGTAGGTCGGAGCGGAGGAGATGCGGAGGTGGTTTGGTTTGGTGGTACTTAGTGGTTGCCGGGCGGTTAGATAAGTAGGTAGGTAGGTTTGGTTAGTTAACTAGGTACTGCGTAGGGAGAAAGGGAGTTGCCAGGGGTATGTCGAGATTATGTTGGTGGGTAATGGGAACACTATCTAGGGTGCTTTCTATCGTTATGGGATATTGTATTAACTTGATTGATTAGCAAAAAGAAGACATGCTGATTGTAGATGAGGTGACGCGCTAGGAAAAATAAAAACAAAAAAACAAAAAAGTGACTAGACTGGGGCTCGATCCCAGGACCTTATGCGTGTGAAGCATACGTGATAACCAACTACACCATCCAGCCAACTTGTTGTGATGGTTTGATAGCAGTGTTGAACTATGAATGAATAAAAATACCGCTGGCCTAAATTGATCAACTTGATTATCTTCAACACTGCGTGATTTCCATCTACATTCTACGATAACATGTTTCAGATGCAACGGTTTGTGAAGACTGTCATCATATACTGTCATAAATGGTATCTATATGTACAAAGAAGAAATCTATCTAATATTTTAAGCCCATTTACCCAGCAGGGCCATCAATAAAGCACCGAGACATAGTAGACCGAAAGCCGCCAGAACGATCTGGATCGGTGCCTTTCGCATCGACGTGCTGAACATGAACTCGTGGGCCAGTAGCTCCACCAGGGCCGTGTAAATGAGAATGCCGGCTGAGATCGAGTCAAAGACACCGCTGACGATCAACGTCGTGGCGCCATCAGACGCATAAGAGTCGCGCACGCCTAGACCGATCGCAATGGCAATAGGCGTGGAGATACCGTAGCCAAGTCCAAGGAAATAGGGGGTCCATCGCTTGGAGTGTGGCCAAGGAACAGTAGCTAACCGAGATCCCAGACCCAGGCCTTCAAAGGTTTGGTGGAAGACAAGGACAACGTAGAGTGTCACAAATTCGGAGCCGGTGACCGCCAGGGTCAACCCAATGAAAACGGAGTGGAAGATGATTCCGAACTCCAAAATGAAGATGGAGGTCAATTGAGCCACGTACTCCTCCAGATCGGAGTGCTGCTTTCCGAGCTCGATATCATGGTGTTCGCGGGAATGACCGAGATGGTCCTCCCCCGGCATATGGGTCTTCATGTCAACCGACTCAGCAGGGGAGGAGGTAGTAGTATGCTCGATTTTCTCATGATGGTGATCATCCTCGTCGTGAGAATGGCCGTGGCCGAATCGAGCAAAGCGCATGACCATTAGCTCCACGAAGAACAGTACCACAATGGTCATTAGCACGATGCCCTCGACCCAAGAGTATTCTGTGATTGGGCCTGTAAGGCAGTCGTCGGTCAAAGCCTCTTCTGCAGGGGCAAGCAGGTGAATAAATGCGGTGGCAATGATGACACCGGAGCCAAAGTATTTGGCGATGAAGAAGGCGCACTTTGCAATCTTGGAGTCCTTGAAACTCCGGGCCATGACGGGGAAGAGAGCCCCGCATGTTGAACCGACGAGAATGACAAAGATAGACGAGATACGCAGGCCCATACGGCCATCATATCCATTGCCCGTCTCACAAGCAGGTGTTGCATCTCTGGCAACTAGACTTTGAAGAGAATCCATCTTCCACCGTTGATTGTATCCGACCGGCAGTCGTCTGCAGACCGTCTGGACCAGCTTAGAATAGCACGGGCCCGCCCGAAGAAGGTAGGGATGATCGAGACAACGTCTGACAGGTATCCGGTCCAATGGCGTGCAGGATCGTGTGACAGGAGGATAGCGGAAGTGTAGGCACGTGGAAGAAGAATGTCAACTGCAGTGATCGGTTGAGATTGCTGGAGGTTCGTCTGCAAGGTCCCCCCGCTCTTAAATTGGTTTCTCAAATGTGCGCCAAGTTGTCAGTGTGAGAGTTGGGCGTCCCCAAGGTCCCTAAGGCTGGTCCACGTCAAAGGGTCCGGCGATGAACGGCGTTGAACCGGTGCTGAGGACCTTGGTGGCACTGGTGAGGGGTTGCACAAACGCGATCGCTGAGGCGTCGATTTCGATTTGAATTAGACAAGAAACGATCTCAGCACTTGCCAGCGCGCAGCTCACCTGGACACAAGTGAGAAATTCAATTGAGCAACACAACACAAAGCAAGAACAGGGGGGGAAATGCAGAGGCGTCTCCATGATGGCGGGCGACGGAGACTTCCAGTCCGTTCTGGGTAAAGTGCGAAGGTGCATCAGATGGGGACCTTGGGGGAAAGCGGCGGGTTCACCTCAAGAGTTTTCGCTCAAAAGTGAGGACCTTGTGGACGAGGTCTTTCTTTTAGTAGTCTCTGATTGGCTCCGATGAACTATAGCGGGGAATTTTGACGCAATGGTTAGCGGCCCGGAACCTTGTTGATCCGATGCTGCACATTTCCTACACCCCGATTGGTTGTTTTGGAGCGGTCAGAAGGGCGGAGTCATCATATCTTGGCAGAATCAAAGGTGGGTTGAACACCTGCTCAATTAGGTAATTATGATACCTTGAGTATCTATGCCGCCAGAATACATATTGAGCAGAGCTCTGTCACAAAAGACTGACACCAATGGAGCGGAAGTATAAAGAAATTTTAGCGCACTGATCTGCCAATTTACGCAACGGCAGTCATGATTCAGTGACCGATATGTCAGCACCCATTAGAAGGTTGCCAAGACTACGGGAAATATATTCCAAAGCAGCATCATGACTATTGGCGCGGAAGCCATTATTCTTGGCTCTCAAACTTCCAAGTATTCAAAGGCTACTTACTAGTAGCACGGATGTCGTCGGAAATGGGGCGTCTGAATAACCTTAATGTGTAATATCCGTGTGACCTTCCAGGTTCAAATTGCCTTTTTACAGAGTCTATGCCTCATGACCTTACCTCTACGCACCGAAGATCATTGCTAGTACTGTTCAATGCCCCAGAGCCGATGCTGCTTGGATTCAACGACTGGCGCTGAGGGCGCATTGGTTTCCTCTAAGCCCAGTGTAAATTAGATACTGAGATTTTGAATCAAATGACGGGCTATTCAAAAGTCTTCCCTAGGCCTACCCTCATGGACATGAATCAATTTGCGGTGATCAAGGGCCAAAGCGTCCAGGCTCTGGGAAGCCAGTGACTGAAACCTTGATGAGGCCCTTGATAATTGATACAGCCGTGTAGCGATGATCTTTGATCAGCTGACTCTATACCAGATCAAGTTAGTATGTGTGGATGTGATGCCCACTACTCTAGGTAGTATGAAGGACGTATGCCTTCAAGCGTCCGGTCTGGGCGCGGCCGATGGACCTTTAGTGACCCTGTATAAGATGCTGACTGTGAATCTTCCTGCTGCAGGTATCTGCGACGATTTCATCATGTTCAGATGCATTGTACTGGTCACTAAACACTGTATGATGAAGCGGGGTATGGACCTATCAAAGCGCCCATGACCTTAGCGCCGAGCATGGCCGTGGGCTCACCATGTCAACTGCAGCCTTGTCACAACTGCTTACTCTCAGAATGTTGTATACGACTCCGCTCTTATGCGACCAGAATGCCATTGCATAGTTTGATTTCAAGATGAAAACCCGGCGCGAAAGGTTGCTGTACGGGGCGCCTCAACAAGTAATATATGGGCTTATAAAACTACCGCTCAAATTGATCTGGCAAAACACAGAGCTTTCCAGCGGCAAGAGGCCCAGGACAGTGCCCGCTGATGCTATCAAAGTTGCAATTCTCTGCGCTTTATCGTACGAGGCTACACTGCGGTCAAGTATTGTCTAGATGAAGAACTCGCATGTCAACCACGAACAATACTAGGCCCCAAGAACTACATGTACTCTTTCGGCCGTATAGGTGAGCACAAGCTTGTTATTGCCCAACCAGTTCACATGGAACTTGTCAAAGCTGCTCAATGTGCAGTAACGGTTAGGCAACAATTCCCACATGTCCAGTTTGCCTTGCTGGTTGGTATTGGAGCAGGCATTCCATGCCCGAATAGGTGTGATATCCGGCTGGGCGATATCGCGGTCGGCATCCCGCGTGGCAGCCACCCCGGAGTGATACAGTATGACTTGGCAATATACGAGGAGAATGAATTCGTACCACAAGGATGTCTCAACAAACCACCATCAATCTTGATAAGTGCAGATGGATCACTAGAAGAAGATGAGATAATGAACCGAAGCCCACTGCGAGAGATTTTGAAAGGCATCACAAAGAATCCTGGGTATGAACGACCATCAGGGCAGGATATACTGTATGACGATGATTCTCATCACATCAACAATGGCGGCGACTGTACCGAGTGTGAGAACTCGGACTGGAAGAAAATTGTGCCCCGGACTCCGCGTTATCTCGAACACCCTGTGGTTCATCGAGGTCTTATACTTTCCGGTAATGGCGTTATAAAAACCCCACAGGACCGCAATCGCTTACGGCGTGGGCTTGACGACGCCTTTGGGTTCGAAATGGAAGGAGTCGGCATAGCTGATGTGATTCCTTGCCTTGTCGTGCGAGGAATCTGCGATTATGCGGACACGCATAAGCAGGACGGGTGGCATCATTCTGCTGCGGCTGTGGCTGCAGCTCATTGCAAATCTATCCTTCTCAAAATAGTTGCACAAGGAGTGGGAGATGCTACTGAAATGAGCTCTTCATTGAGTGACCAGGATGACCTATTAAGAGCGATCAGAGCTATAATCCAATGTCAAAGCCTAGCCATTGCATTGTGGCCCCTTAAATACCTGCTACCATTAGAAACAAGCCATGATGGTGTATGTTATGAACAGAAAGGATGCTTGGACCTGAATAGACTGCCGATAGCTGAAGATGCTGCCTTTGACTCATATGCAGACCAGCACGAAATTTTTTGTCTTCCGGGCACTTGCATCAGCCTTCTCCAGCGCATTGAGGACTGGGTGTACGATGAAAGTGGAAGATGCATCTTCTACCTAAATGATATGGCTGGAACCGGAAAGTCTACGATATCTCGAACTGTTGCCAAGCATTTCAGAGAAGAACAAATGCTGGGAGCTAGCTTTTTCTTCAAGAGGAATGCAGGTGATCGAGGACATGCAAGACGGCTTTTCTCGACAATCGCCAGGCAGCTCATTACAAATCTTCCTCAGCTCTCACCGATTATCAAGAAAGTTGTTCGAGAAAACCCTGATATATCCACAAAGTCACTAAGGGAGCAGTTTGGAAGACTTCTATTTTCGCCACTGATAGAACTGGGAAGAACTAGAAAGGACACCGAGACTATTGTGATCGTGATCGATGCATTAGACCAATGTGAGTCGGACAAAGACGTGCGACTCATAGTTCATTTACTATCTCAATTGCGGGACTCGGGTGTAGTACACGAGCCTTTCTTCATAGCCCACACTCACGCGACATAATGCCCTTCTGGATCGAGGAGAAAGTGACGCACAGCAAGCTTACTACACACTGTCAGAGAATCATGTGATATACTGTAGGCTAATTGCTCTGTATGGCAAGGCAACAACGATGTATGAAGTGAGGAGCCAAATTAGGAAAGTACAACAAGGCTTGCCTTTCATAGCACGAATGTTTTGTAGAACTGAGCATACCACAGTCCAATAGACAGTACAGTTGAAAGTTTCTAATTATACTCTCAATCACTATACTCTCTCCCAAGATGTAAGTAGAGTAATACATTCATACCATCTCACATTGTCTTACATCGTGAAGGTGCTTTTACCAGACGATGGTTTATTCGTGTGGTTGTACTACGCCGGGGCCCTTCAAGCAATGCCCTCCGAGACTCGGCACCAATGCGAGATGCACTAGATTGAGCCGAAGGCAACCAGAATACGTGGGCAATTATTGCCCAAGACATCTCGTGACGAGAGGAGCGAGTATCGTTTACGTGGTGCCGGATGGAGGCTGGCACCCAGTTGCGGGACAAGGGGGGAACGGGGGTGAAGCCGGAGAGGGAGAAGAAAGAGAAGAAGGAGAAGAAAGAGAAGAAGAAGAAGAAGAAGAAGAAGAAGAAGAAGAAGAAGAAGAAGAAGAAGAAGAAGAAGAAGAAGAAGAAGAAGAAGAAGAAGAAGAAGAAGACGAAGAAGAAGACGAAGAAGAAGAAGAATATGATGATGATGATGATGATGATGATGATGATGATGACAGCAGCGACGAGGAGTAGCGTGTTAATGTGCATCATCAGGCACCATATTAATTATATAATATATCTTATTTGAATGCATTAAGTAAATATATCCTCCCCTCTCTGGCCAGAAGTATGTATGCTTCATGACATCAGCTACAATAGTACAAGTGAAGGTTTCGGACAAGCCATTCCGATGTAGTCGGATTGAATACCGCCTTATTTCATAACCATCGCTATCATGACATCTTCGCCTTACCGGACATTCTTAAATAGCCCATATACAGTGCTATTCTGGCGGTACCTTCAGGTCTCTGGAGAACTCACTCTGGAAACATGAAAGCTATAAATCGTTCCTTCTACCACACAATCGACGCTAAGTCCTATCATGACAGGCCCAGCTGTCTCGTCTGCGGCTTTGTCTTTGCGAACGGGACCAGCGAGGACGATCATTACAGTTACGTGGATTCGAGATACTATGTAGGAAGTAACCTCTGTCGCGCTGAGCTTCTAGAGGATTGGAGACCTTCTGAGAAGAAAAGATGGGGGAAGAAAACATGGTGGAACACTTCCCGCGCAGGTCAGCCACCCTGGTACACTAGATACCCTCAGCTGTTGACTGATTGGTCCAGTTCTATACCGCCCTGCAACAGGCACCTGCCGGCTTTCTGGGGTCATCATGCATCCTCTGACAACCGGATTGGTTCCAATGAATGAGACAGATGGATATATTTGCGGTACTTGGTCGGGCTGGTTATCCCCCAAAGAACGACAAGCTTTCGTACGTCCGGACATTCTATGCCCAACCCAGGAGCCGGAGCCCGACGTTGAGTGGGTGGCTTACTTTGTTCACTCTCGCTGCTGGGAGCTACTTACTCACCACGACTTGGGGACGATTGCGGAGAAGGACCTGGGCATAGTTCTCGACGCTCTCCGAGACAGACATAAGACTCTCCGAGGCAGACGTAAGAAAACCGGTTACCAACCTAGATCCTGGTATTGGATGTTTTGTCGGGAAGGTTAGGGTCCCCCCAGGTCCGACATTCGATGACGCTGACCTTGAATCTCTACCAGATCCTGTTCGTACAAAATGCGTTACAGGGGCGATTTGTCTAGCACTAAAACACGAAAAGCGAAGGAAATTGATGATGAAACGAAAGGGCCATTTGGTCACCCGAAAGGCACCACGTCCCAGACCCTGCGTTCTTCCGATGGAAATACTTTATATGATTCTTAGATATCTTCCATATCAGACGATTGCGAACGTGGAAAAAGGATTGCGCCTCAATCTCGGTAATAGGTTTTGGTGCACTTGGCTCTCTAGCCGAGTATTCTACGAAGTGAGGGATATTGCCATCGACGAGGTTAATTGGAAGCGCCTATCCATGTTGCTGGAACGACGACTCAAGAAGTCAAACGCTTTGGCCATCCGACGGTTTTTATTAGCCTCTCTGGATAATGTTATGAGGTTTGTTAACATGTAACTTGATGGGAAGGCCATCTATTACGAGTTTGAACAATGAATAATAATAAATAATGTGTCTGATAATACTATTCAAGGATGGAAGTCTGGGTCGCTCTTATTGTTATTCTCATCTTCATCTTCATCATATTTATTTCCATCATCTATTCGCTTTCTTCTTCTTCTTTCCCTCACCCTTATCATCTTCTTCTTTGGCTTCATCCTCCTCGGCCTCGCTCCCGTCCCCCCATGGTGCAGGACCAGACCCTGCGAGATGATCGAGTCCATTATCAGTTTGGCGATAGCGGTGAGATCATGAGCGTCGGTGTGGAGAGGGCCATCGAATCCGTGGCTTTTCATGTCCGCTTCGAACAAGTCTTAGGGGTGGAGGGCCTCTGCCTATCCATGGTCATCATTAGAGCAGTTCCGTCGTGTATGAGAGGTTGCTGGAGAGACGATAAGTTAAACAACTCGAAAACCCCATGTCGCAGTAAATGCTCACAGCCTGTCGGTTTTTGAAAAGCCCAAGCCAAATCAATTGGCGAGTAAGGCAACGAATGTGCAATAACAGAAACAGAAACAAAAATTGATACCTCCATGACAGCCACGCGTATGCTCGTGACGTCCGTGACGTCCGCGGAGGCGATGCCCAGAGTGCTTCTAACGAAGAGGCCGGACGACGGAAGGGTGCCAAATCTGAAAAGCACGATGTATGAAGTGAGGAGCCAATTGAGAAAGGTGCAATAAGGGTCGCATTTTCTGTAGAATGAGCGTACCGTAACTAAATACTAGGTAGCACAATCAGAATAAACTATCTCTCAACATACACTCTCGAAATATGAAGTGGAGCAATAGATTCATAACACCATATACTTTTAGGGGGACGCTACCGCCATACCAACCGGACACCCTCCGGCTACCTTCCGCCTACCTTAGTAGATAAGGCTCGCTCCCTATTAGGTAAGGCTTGCTTTTTTAAGCAGACATAATTATACCGCCTTCTTATTTAGGGCTTTAGTCTGAGGCTCTGCCTGGCACAAAAAGCAAGCCTTACCTACTAAGATAGGCGGAAGGTAGCCGGAGGGTGTGGCATGAGCAGAGGCCGGTGTGGAGGAAGCCTGGCTGGTGTGGCGGTAGCGCCTCCCTACTTTTATCTGTTGAGGCATTCACTCTAGCCAGGGTCAGCTGATCCTTTGCTTCTTCATCCTGCGTGGTCTTCCAGCACCTTTTCCAACCACCAACCATCTTCTTGGGATCCAGATAGCTCCAATTCATACCTTTGACCCTTCATCTTGTCATTATATTATATGATAAAGGTGCTTCTATCAGATCTTTGTCTATTCGTGTGGATGTACCACCCCTGACCCCTTCAAGCAATGCCCCCCCACTGCTCCGGGCTGGAGTAACCGATCTAGGTCTATACAACGAACATAGAAGAGGATCCTCTTTCCAAGGTAGATGCAGATTGTTATTTTTTCTTTTCTAAAGCTATCTAACGGAAGAAAGTAGAGGCATCTCCTTTACCTCCCAATCGGGAAGGTACGTTGCACCCACAACTCAGCACCAACGTGAGGTGCACCAGATTGGGTCCAAGGCAGCGACAGCCTGTGGGCAATTATTGCCCACGACATCTGGTCACTAGGGGGGCAAGGGTCGTCTACGCGAGGACGGGTGGTCAATGGCAACCAGTTGCGGGTGATTTCAGTATGGGAGACGCCCCTGATGGCTGTGGACAAGTCCCACGTACCGTTCCCGAGGATATTCGTACAATCCTCGTCGACTTCATCACGAAGGAATACATTGGGAGAATACCACGATCCAGACCGATACCGCAGTCGATAGTGTCCTCCGGGAGGAGACCTCCAATGAACTACGGGCGACAGGTGTTGTCACCCAACTTCTCGATGGATCATCCAAGACGGTTGATGCGACGAAGGAAATTGTTGTCTCGGGCGCCGCGTACTGCAGTTCCGCCATTATGATGCGTGGATCCCGCGAGGAGCTGGTCCAATTTAACATCGACGGCAAGATTGACCTGCCTGGAGTGGGTAGGAGCCTGACGGACTATCACCAACGAAGCACCTAATAATCTACCACCCACAAACAACTTAATATTATAATCACCATCAACCGCCAAAATGACCACCTTCTACATCCCAGTCGAACTCCTGTCATACTACTATATCACCATCGATATAGACACCCCCATATGGCATCTATTGCCCTGGGGCACACCGTATGACACAACGACAGATTACTGTTCTCCACCCTTGAATATTAGCTCTATATTGCCTCTGACCTGCATGCAGATCATTTTTACGTTCTACGAGATCGAAAAGGAAGGCCAGACAAACTACTGGCATCCTACCACAAAAGCAACAGGGCCAAGGCCTACATGCAGTGAAAGGAGCAGACGTTTGGCTTGTTGTCAACATTCCTCTTCTGCTGTTTCGCATTTGCACTCATGGACGTGTGGTCGAAGGCCGACCCCAATGAGAAACAACCCGAGACAGCTTGGATGGGACTCTATGAAGCTTACGCCACCCAGCCCAAAGTCGAGTCTTCACGATCGAGTCTCAAGACGGCCCCAAGCTGTATTAAGGTTATTCTATTGGCCATATTTTGTATATAGTTACCTATCTATGCCTAACATTATTAGGAAAAAGTTATTCATTTCCGATGTCATCTATAACCAATCCCTTGACTGAAAATGAACATAGCCCGCGAAGCCCAACATCAATCAAAGCGCGCATTTCCTCAACTCAAACAACCACAAACTCCGCGCTCGTCGGCCCCTCCCCATTACAAGCCGTCAGATCCATCGGACAAGCACTCATAAACACTACACACTCCTGCTCGGCCCTCAGCACCACAAAATCCCCGACCTTACTATCCGGCTCCAAAACCCTTAACCCATTCCCACTGATCTCCACATTCATGAACAAATTCAACGGATCAGGCGTCCATCCACTCTCCAAAAGCCCCACAACATGTCCGAACGCCGGCTCAGCACACTGCTGCACAGCATCGCGAAGATTCTGGGCACAGTTATCATGGTCCGCGGTACCTCCAAGTTCGAGATATCGTTCTGGAGAGCAAGCTGCGTAGAGAACGTCGTGTGTGCCCCGGGATGTGTCCTCGGTGATGGTCAAGATAGGGTTTCGGTTGTTGTCGACGAAGGATTCGTTGATTGAGGGAAGGAGCTTTTGTAGGGTGGGTCGGGTGTGGGCCATGGACATGTATCTAGGGACAGTGTTGGGTGTGGAGGGGATCGTGAAGGCCCAGGTGTCGATGACTTGGCTGCCCGAGGTGTTTATGATTTTGATTGATTGGCTGGGGTGGAGTCGTTGGAAGGCGAAGCTTCTGGCTGGGATGGTGGGCATTTTTGTATAGAGACTTTTTGGAGGATGGGTATGGTTGGGTTGACTTTTGGAGTTCCTGAGCCTGAGTCCTATATCCACGAAGGTCTATGCGTACTGATCGATAAATGAAGGTTCAAGCAACTACATCCCACGGGACAAGTGCTGGTGTTATATGCTCAACCCCTTGAGTTGCATTGATAAGCTGCGTGTCTCCAGAAGAAGATAAGGTGACGTCATTTCTCCGCGGAATCACTCACATATTGGGCTGTCAGGCAGTATAACATTTCCTCTGCTGAAACCCGCATAACCCTTGTATATTGTCGAGACTTCTTCGTTTCCTTTTAGATGTGGTGTAGCTAGCTAGATAGCTAGTCTGGTGGAGCCTCCAAAAGTAAAGGTGGATCGTGTAGATTCCCCATCCTCATCAATTAACCTAATCTAACCTACTTTGTATACATCCAAAGCAAACTAACCACCCGATCTCCGGGTTACTATACCCACAGACCCATAACTACTCTAGTAACTGCGGCATCTGCGGTGCTGACATGCATGAATCCCCGCTTACCCCTTCCCCCACCCCACCTTGCATATCAGACAACGCATCACCATAACCCCAACCCCAACTCCCCCTCAATCAACCCCTCCAACCCCGAACCCACCACCACAACAATGCCCACCAAAACCCTCGTCATCATCGGCATAACCGGCAACCAAGGACACTCCGTCACCACGCAGTTCCTCCACGACCCAACCTACCACATAATCGGGCTAACGCGGAACCCAACCTCCCCGACCGCCCAATCCCTCTCAGCGCAAGGCATCACCATCCTCGCCGCCGATCTCAACGACCCCAGCACACTCACCCCGGCCTTCCGCGGCGCGAACCTCATCTTCAGCGTAACCAACTACTGGGAGCCATTCTTCCGCGAAGACTGTCGAAAACAGGCAGTGGAGCGGGGGATCTCATGTCGTCGGTACGCGTACGAGGTGGAGGTGCAGCAGGGGAAGAATATTGCGGATGCGGCGGCGGCTACGGTGGATTCGCTGGATGAGAATGGGTTTGTGGTGTCGACGTTGAGTCATGCGGCGGAGTGTAGTGGGGGACGGTTTGGGGAGTTGTATCATTTTGATGCTAAGGCGGAGGTGTTTCCGAATTATGTGAGGGAGAGGTATCCCGCGTTGGCTGGGAAGATGTCGTGTGTGCAGACGGGGTATTTTATGACCAGTTATAGGTTGGTTCCTGGGGCTTATTTTACGAAGGTGAGTGAGTGGCTATTCTTGGTTTGGGGTGTGGGTGTATGGGGTTATTGCTGATGTGTGTGTGTTTTTGGGTGGATAGAAGATGATGGAGGATGGGGAGGTGTCGTTTGAGATGACTTTTACGACGGCGCCTGATGCGAAGGTTCCGCATTTGGATGTTAATGCGGATTTGGGGAACTTTGTTTATGCGGTTTCGAAGATGCCCCCTGGGAAGAGTTATATGGCTTGTGGGTCGTATTGTAGCTGGGCGGAGTATATGAGGATTTGGGGAAGAGTCAATTCGGTCCCGGCAAGTTATCGGCAGATTACTCTTGAGGAGCTGATGGAGAAGACTCCCGATCCGGAGTTTGGGCGTGAGGTAGGTGATATGTTTACTTATTCGACAGATCCGGGGTATGATGGCGGTGATAAGGAACTGCTGACTGCAGAAGACATACGCAATGTGAGTGTGTTGTGATGATATGGTATTTAACCCACGGCTAATCTCTACAGGCCGGGATTGAGTGTCCCATGACCAGTTTGGAGGAATGGATTGAAAAGGAGGATTGGTCGGCTGTCTTGAATAGTGAATAGGTCCTGATGTATATATGTAGCTGGCCAAGAAAATCCGCATCACGACCGAGGTTCGGCCAATATAACATGAGCGACCCTACCAGACTGTGCACGTCTAGTTGACTCTTGCACCTGAGTAGGCAGAGACTGCGCCACTGCATTCCGTATTTCCTCTTTGATAAGTGCAGAGAGGCTCACTTGCACGTCATTGACCAAGCCAGCGCGGATTGAATCAAGCTGGCCGGATAGGCTTGATTGCAAATTGGCATGGGCAGTACCTTGGACTTGCTTAGCAATCTCTGCCAGTGCGTCGCCCCCGAGCCTGGTCTCTCTGGACATTCCAGCCAATGTCAGGTCCTTCCAGCAAGCGGAGTCAATATCGCTCATACGTGGAATGCGGATTGTGCTCAGGTGCTTGACGGTACGTTGAAGCACGATAGATTCATGGTCCCATTTCTTAATCGTGGCAAGACGCATCACAGCGGAGTAAACTTCGAATGTGAGGTCTTCCACCTTGGCTCTGGTGTGATGTGGTATTTCGCGGCCGTCGCTTAGAAGTCCGTGATACTGTGTGCACTTGCTGCCGAACTGAATCAGGTCCTTGACATGGGACAGCAGATCAACTGTCGCCAGATAATCAGGCCTTAGACCAGCACGTTGTGGCCCAGATTCCGATTCGGGTAGTGTCTCATCGTCAAGTCTTCCGCGCTGCACATCAAGGTCCATTGCAATCAGATCACTGATGTCTGAAGGACTCAGCCCTTTCGTTGCATTCTTTGGCAACCCAACAACGAACGCTTGAGGCGACTCGTTGACAGAGGACTTCTGTGGCGATGATGAATCCTCGACGAGGCTTCTCATACATCCTGAAACCAATGTTCCTATGTTCTTCTTTGAGTTAGTCAATGAAAGAAACGGAAATAGGAATTTTCACCTGCCTCAATAATGTGGTTGATCCCAGCCCAGAGCAATGCTTTATACAGGAAGTCCTCACTTTCTAGTTCTTGTTTGTCCATGCGCATCCCACTTATGTACCTCTTGATGTCTTCCAATTGTTCAACAAATGGGACAGAGAATTGGTATGCTGCAGTCAGACTTGCCTGACAATTCTCCAGATCCCAGAAACAGGGCAACCGTCTCCACTTGTCCAATGCGGTAGCTAGTAGCCTCTGGCGCTGTGAAAGCTCCTTTGTAATGGACTTCTGTGGCAGAAACAACTTTCTATAGGCTACAACGGTATCACTGTCAATCTTCTCCATTCTCCTGTATGCTGTAGTCCAGGCCTTGTAGTTTTGGAGTTTCTCTTTTGCGCCGCTAGTTTTGAGAGCGGCGATAATACCCTTGGCGAGAGGCTTTGCGTTCCACGCAGCTTGGAGCGCTGTTCCAAATCTACCGACAACCTTATTTGGACTGGCACCCTGTTCAAGCAGCATCTTCACTGTTGATTCATGGCCAGCTGCTGATGCTGCCACAAGAGCAGTCCCAAAGAATCCAGCTATATGGTCGACTGCAATTCCCCGGGAGTAGTTACTTGCCTTTCCTCCACCTGAAAGTAGCAGGCTGATAATGGAGTTGTATCCGTTGTACGCTGCCACATGGAGAGGGTTACCCAAAATCCCATCTTCAGTTCCTGTTATTTTTGCTTTGTCGTTGAGTAGCATTTCAACGATTGAATCATGTCCTTGAGCGGAAGCCACATATAGTGCGGTTCCATGGGGACCTTTCTCGGCGTTCACATCGACATATTTCAACAAGTCCGCAACAATCTGCTTATAGCCACGATAAACTGCCACTTGCAGTATTGTCTCCCCGTCAGAATTCCTTGCGCTCAAATTCTTGGGATCAGTTTGAATCAAGCCCTCGACGACCGGCCTGAGATTGAGTTTAAGCGCATAGTGGATTCTTGAGGCATGCCTCTGGCGTTTACTGTCGGCTTTCGTCCCACTTTTGTCCATTATAGATTCACCCGCATCAAGACAGTCCAGCCAATCATCGAATCTTTCAGACTGAAATAGTACACGAATTCTCCCTTGAAGCATAGCACGTTCACTGGCCATGCCATCTGCTTTCTCGAATAATTGGTAATGTTGAAACCAATATTCGGCAGCATAGCTCCGTAACGTCAGTTCGAAACGGCTTTTATTGGCCGTGTCTCCCGCTCCCAATGGCAGCATTAGAATATCAAGACAGCGTTGGGTAATTTCGAAGTGAGCTTGTTCCTCGGAACATAGAAATTGCGATATCAGACTGTCCTGACCTATGCGAACCTGGGTCTCCAAATACTCTTTCGCCGAAAAGTGGGCGAACCGAAGGACTTTATCGCACTTCTTGCTCTTGCGGTTAATGATCAAGGTTTGCGTGGACTGGGTCACCCATTGGCCTGTACATATTTCATAAACTGCATCACTGTCGTGAAGGCCAACTGCAGAGGCAATCTCATCTTGAGTGAGCGGTCGTAACTGCCTCAGAAGCCATATAAACATTGCCCTCAAAAGCTTCCTGTCGACTTCGCTTACAGACCTCAAATGTTTCTCGTAAATGGCTACCATGCTCGTCGGAACTTCGTTCAGCTTTGCCTCAATTTTCTTGGGGTCCTTTCGACACTCGCGTATTTCGTGAACCAATGATGTAGCCCAGAGAAAATTCCTACCATTTGTTAGCCATGGTAATAAATATGTATACTGGTCGGCGGGAACTGTACTTTTTAGCCCCTTCTATAAGCCGTGTCTGAATACGAGACTTTAGGAAAACAGGGAGATCGCTTATGCCATCACCATGCTGCATAGTAGTGTCAATGTAGTTGCGAATGTCAACTTCGAGCCCTTCCGCTACGTCAATCTCCACCAGGATGTCTTTCAGATGTCCTCGAAGACATTGTCGTATATCATCCTCATTCTTGCTGACAAGGAGAATGTGAAGGTTCGAAATTCCTGACTGAGCCAGTCGCTTTATGAGTTCGAGCAATTTGTGACGTTCTCGGTCTTCTGATTCTTTCGGAACCTCATCGAGACCATCTAGGATTATAAAGACGTCCTTCTGTAGCTCAAGCACTGATAGGATGCTGTGCAGATATTCGATGAGTGTCTTGGTGTCAGGATAGCGTGCGAACTTTCGGTCTTCTACCAAGGCACTGGAAATGTCTTCTGGGAAGCCCCCAAGACTACTTCCCAGCTGTCGTAGGACAAACCGCAATAGCAGGTCGATGCGCGTCGTGTCTGTCTCATCGAAACGAAAGTACCACCGCAATAGTACCCGGTTTCTGTCTTTCTTGAACAGCGTTTCAAGTTGGTTGACGATGGTTGAACTGTAGAGAATTAGCCGGCTTAGAAGTAACCAGATGGCACAAGGCGGGCGGTTCGCATACCATAAGGACGATTTTCCACATCCAGCTAGTTATTCTGTTAGTATATGCAATTCTGTTTCTGGATATTGTTCCATACATTCACCATACAGCCAAAGCAAGGATTGTGGTGTGTCCACCCAAGTTTTGTATTCTTGACGTTCAAGCAACCACCTCCCCGCTACTTCAGTCTCATCGCTGGATACAATGGCAGACCTTAGCTTCTTGTGCTTGCCATCGCTGGCCGCAGCTATATCACTGGGGAACAGCCATTCAAGTAGCTGCGTCTGAATTTCCCCTTCACAAATCTCAGCCTCTGGGTCTTGCTACCGGAAACGACACTGTAACGTACCTGAAAGGGTCTTATCGATCTTCGCAATGCCCTTCATGATCATTGATGTACTCTTGGAAACATCTCCTAGAATTTTCTGGACCTCCTTGACTCGCTTCATCTCCTCTTCTTGGGCTGGTAGCATGTCAGCACGGCGTGCAACTTCCATGGTATCTACAGTATTCCACTTACTTTCAAACATGAACTGCTGCTGCTCAGCCATTATTTGCCGAAACCACTTTTCCACCATCTCGTCGCTTCCCTGAATGGCACTTTGCAAGTCCTTCAGCGGCTCCTGGGTAAGTGATTTAAAACTCTGGATAATCCGGTCTAGTCAAGATAATCAGTATGGACAACGTTCATGGGGCAGGTACATTCTTGATACCTAATCTTTTCGATGTAACTGCCTGCTTCACTTTTGCAGAATATTGTAGTACACATATGTACACATTGACAATGGCATCCCCTAATTCGGCCGCATTGGAAATCTGGACTCGGTGATAAAGAGCCTCGATGCGAGAGTATCGAGCCAGGAGTACGGCCAGGTATTCGGAAGCTTCCCAAATGCGCTGCATCCTTTCCTGGTTGTTTTGGATAAGCTGCAAGAGTCAACCATACGTCCATCCTGTAAGAAAATAAGTCAATGATCACAAACCGTCAGACCAAAGGAAACCACCGCCCATGCGATAGACGCATAGCCTGTCGGATCAAATTTAACGACCACATCGCCCAACGCCTGAACGGTCATGACCGATTTCAAGATAGAACTTGCACGATCATATGCGTTCCCCTTCGTTTTTGACGGCCATCGCTCCTGATGAATGCGTAGTTTGCTTTTGGTCAGGTTCATAACGCCCTCTACGTACTCTTTAGGCAATCTTCCCATCCGATTGATGTTCCTATCTTGCCACTTTTGAGTCAGACGCTTCCTATTCGCGTCGCCCACGTCGACGGACATCCACGCCTCTTCCCATAGGTTCCGCTTAGGCTCGACCACGGCAGATTTTGGCTTCGCTGCTGCCACGCCATTGGACTTTGCCTGTACTGGCTTCGGCTTTGTAGGTTTCGAAGATGGCGTTTTCTTGGCCTTGGTGGTTGTGGCCGGCTTGGCCTTTACCTTCACCGGTGATGGTTTCTTAGGCGGGTGTGGAGTGTCATCTTGTGGCTTGACCATTTGGCTTATTGAGGAAGTGTTGGTTTGGTATTCTGTAATAGTTGATGTTTGATGCTAAGGGAAAAATATTGGCAAATGAAGCTGTCATGATGGAAGATCGCGTTCTTGCGGGAGATTTGTACCCCGCGCGAGGCTTTGCAGAGGTCAAGCTGATGGGGCTGATACTGTTTCATAGTGGGAAGAGCTAATGCTGGTGCAGGATGAGGGGACAAAAACAAGTATCTTGATTGGAGGATTCGTATGCGTTGTCAGCTAGCTAGCCAGAAGAATACGAGGCGCCCGCTTGGCTTGGCCCTGCAGTGATACCTGCATGCTGTGGGTCACACCCTAGAAATGTGTTTGTGGGAAGTCGAGTGCAGAACGACTGTCACGCGGATTAGTGATAGGAGGAATATGGGAAGTCTATAATAAAGCCTGGAAATTACGGCAGGCGTGAAAGCGGCTCTAACCGCTAACCTTATCCTTGAAATATGCAGGAAAATACTACGGGTCTTGCCTGAACTGAAATTCTTGAGACGGTTGGGAGCTCAGCGAACTTGAATTCATTCCAGTCAAAGAGGTTATCCTTCTTATGATAAGATAAGTCGTTTGTTTATTTTCAAAATGAAAGTGACACTCGAGATACGCAACCATCATTCCAACATGATATGACAGCTTCATTCCACTCAGATACTTCCCCACATCAAAGATCCTCTTTTCTTGAGAAACTCAAATGTGGGTTTTGACACAGTGATCCTACTGTGCCTCTACATACCATGGCACGAAAACATCCATAGTTTCATAAAACTCCTCAGCCACTGCTCCCTCCAAGCCCCAAGCGGAGATCACCTCCATCCCAGGCCGATATCCCCACTGCGTATTGATCCTCAAATGGGCAATCCTGGCGCTCTTATCCCGACTGAACTCTAAAGACTCATTACTTTCTTCTCCCGTACGATAATTAAGAAGTGAGAGCCCCATGATTTGTAGTCGCGGCATTCGCTGCGCTGCTGTGCCCATGGCCCGATAGAGAATACCAAGGTCGGCACTTTTGATGTATTCCCGCCGGTCAGAATACCTGTCCTTCGGCGGAGGGTTTGCCAGCGACTCCCGAACTGCAGCTTCACGGGTTAGTGGAGGATCAAGGCCAAGTAATGGGGACCCTGTCCTTGTGTTAGTCACAAGAGATGATTGAAATATACGTAACTCAGAAGGCAGCATATGAAAAGGCAATCTAGAAGTTGAATCAAGCGCAGCAACACTTACCATCTTCGTTGTATGGAGGCACATTGAGTACTAGAAGCCGTTCGAGTTTCGGCCAGTAAGGAGCATTGGTACTGTTTTCCGCCGATGGCCAAAAAAGAGCCTTGCTAATCCGGATATGACTCAAAGTGAGTGACTTTAGCCGCATACTCAGGTTATGAAGTCGGGTGGACAGATAATCCATCCCACTAAGCCCCATATAGGTCAGTCGATGGTTGCGAAGTTCGTCGTCATGTAAAAAAGGAGACCATTCTCGGTCGCGCATAACGGAAAGCTCAAGGCTCTCCACAGAACTTGGTACACAACGAATGAAGTCGATCATTTCTAGATTAAAAGCACGCCAGTTAGCCCGTATCAATGCTTGAAGACCATGAAAGGAAATAAGAGCATACCTTGTCTTAACAAGCGACGAATATCACCTACAGAAGGACCCATCCATATAAAATCTTGCAGTAATACATGCTTCACATTGGGGAGACGTTCAAAGATCAATCCAAATGATGATAACAAGACAGCATTTAACCATGTCCCCGTTACTCCAAGCGACGTGACGCATACTGGACTAGGTAAGGGTTCCAGGTGCTTTGCTTTCAGGCAGGATGGAAGTGCTTTTCGATGCTTGAACAGGATATCCCTTAAGGATGATGTGTACTCTGAATATTTGGGGTTGAAGGTTCCACAATGTGGATTGTGGTCGCTGAATACCAGTTCGAGCCCTGGATGCTGCTCTCCCCAACTGTGCAACGCCAGAAACAAGAAGCCGAGCGCTTTGTGGTACTCTTGGTCATACCATTCATATAGATACTCATTGGTGTTTGCCCGATACATAAAATCAGTCACCTTTGGTAAGACAAAATATGGTTGCCAAAGGATATGTCGAATATAATTTACCCTGGCACGTCGCCAGTCATTGCCTGTAGTGCACCTGGAAAGGTTCAACACGCTTAAGTGCCCGCTAATGCATAATCTCTTCCAAATAATTGGCTCCACAATTCCCTGCCATTGACGAGAAATAACAGAGTATTGGGATAGCCTTTGTGAACGCCAAGCCGGTGGCACATCGTAATAAGTGGCTCCGGGAACACGTTTTGGACGATGTTTGTTCCCAGAGGTATCTTCAAGCAGATAATTAAAGATGAGACTGATTATCTCGCTGGGAAGAGGCTTCATGGTTCTGAGCTGGCAGTGGTGCTGAAGTGGTTTCTGACCTTGCTGATGTCACGCTGGGATAATTCTCTGGGTAGATCAACAAAAGCCTTACATATAGAGATATAGAGATATAGAGAACTGTAAATTGCGCACACTTAGAGTAATAACCTTTCCTCATGGGAGAGGATGCAAGAGTCAGAAGATATTATATACGTTATCTGGGAGCGTGACGGCATCCATCTAACTATGATAGTTGGATATAGTATCACTTATCTTCATTCTCGTTGTCCCTGGAAAATATAGGTAGCTTCCACATTACCCAAGAATTAAAGACGTATATGGAATGCACCACCTGTTTATACCCTTCACTACCACAGGTAGACTTTCCAAAAATAGTTGCGAGAAATATATCCAACACCATATTTAGTGCATATAATGAAGATATCTGAACTTTCCCGTTGAAATGGCAAGAATGGTTGACATTGAAAGCGAAGGAAACCGGGATATCCATTGACTTACCCCCTGCCGACTTAGTGGTGTTCACCCCTCTGAAATTCCCGCAGTTACTATTGACTGCTGCATTGTATATCTATGTTTCGCTGGGACATCGGAGGAGCCCTTCAATGGACCACTTAGCTCACGTAAGACAGGGTCGCTAGTTAATTTATTGTTTCATTTACTACTTACAGTAAAGCCACTGTTTATCTTATAAGCGTGATGTATCGATGGAACAGAATCCAAGTACCAAAAAATTACGTGTACCATCAAGAATCATAGTATTCTTGTCGATCGATAATTTAGATAAAGCCACAATCACTCAGTTGAAATAGCAATGAGTCTGGGGCTGGATTCACCAAAGCGCTATCCGGCTCCTACTGCGGGTCCACAATCCTTCGAACAAGGGTCATAGATGACAGCTTGCAGGAGACATAAGCCAATTTGCTGGTGCCTAACCCATGGGAACTGATGGAAAGTCACGTATAAATCAGGTCTCCCCGATACGTGCCATTTCCTAATTCTTACACTTGCCAAAGATTCCTTACCATGGCATCGGAAAGTCCCTTTTGGGGCCCATCTACTTCACATGCTAAGTTAGTATGAAGGCTACGATCAAGTCCAAGCTAACGGTGCAAAGTTTTTGCGAGGAGGTAATTGGTTTATTTGAGAGCACAGAATATTCCCGCATCTATCCTTCCTAACAAGAACATCACATAGGACTACGTGGTGACCAGATACGTCGCCGAATTTATCAATACCCTAACCAATCTTGTGTACAGTATGTCGCGACCTGCCGCTTCTACACAAAAACTAATAAATGACGCAGTATTCTACGCAATATACGGAATTAACCATCTTCGTCGAAATTCTCTTCGTCGACATTCGAATAAGAATGTCTTCCGCGCCCTTCCCTACTGGGGCTTGATGGGCGTTGGTATCGCTTCTGCGGCTTTTCACATGAACCTCAAGTACCATACTCAGATGAGTAAGCCATCCACTACCTTCCATTGCTAGTCTAAGTAGTGTTTTTTACCAAGTCCGTTTGGAACAGTGGACGATGTATCCATGCATCTCACCACAACACCGGTTCTCCACCGCGTCATGACAGTGAACACCAGTCGCAGAACCTCGATTATCCTAGCATTTCTGCTGGGTGCAGCTCTTATAGGACTCATAACACACCATGCACTGACAGATGAGCTACTCTTACATTCCGTCATGTTCATAGTCAGCGTGACGATCATTGGAGTCCGTACGATGCAGTTGATCACCACTCGAACGCCAAAGAATTCTCTCGCTCGACGGCAGATCTGGGGTATGGTAAGATTTGGAGCTGGTAAGACCAAAGCATCTATCTATCATTTTCATGTATTCAGTACACTGACTGCCAAAGCTATATTTGAGCTGGGATTCCTCGTCTGGTTAGTTGATGGGTGGATATGCGGATGGTTGAGGAGCTGGCGGGCGACTATTGGCCTGCCGTGGGCTTTTCTGCTGGAACTACATGGGTGGTATGCAGATTCATGCTTTCTTCCAAGGGTCCGAGCTAACAATCGGTATGAAACAGGTGGCATATCTGCACCGGAGTTGGCGCTTACATATTCATCGCGGTGATTGATCACCTAGTGTCGGGTGAAGATGCTGGAGCTATTAAGGAATCATTCGCCTGGCCTGCGCCGTGGGCTTCTCGTTCTATTTTTGCGGGTAAAGGTTCAGCCCTGGGTGTCACGGCGGATCTCAAGACAGACTGAGGCGAGAACACAACAAGTAGATTTGAGGCGGGAGACGGATGGGGACGAACGTTGGTCGGGGTAGAACTAAGCATCAGATATGCTGCGAAGCCAAGCTTTCAGCTCACATTCTTCAACCACTTAAGCTATGATGGAATCCGTGAACCATGAGCATTCTGTACAGTCATAGCAATGATTGATAAATCCGAAATAGGAGATAAGCTTGTACCGGATTAATATTCAGCCAATGAAGAAGCCAAACTTATTCACACACGTCCCACCCAGCCAATCGGCAATACGGCATTGAGTCAGTTGTAAGCGATCGGACCCCCGCAATGCACCCCACCGGCAATTGCCCTTGCCGATGCACCCCGCCCTCCGGTCTCAAAAGCTTCGAACTCTTGCCTGCCAGAAATCTCAATCCTCTTATCCAGAGTAATTTTGGACAGATTTGGAAGAACAAGCTCAGACGCAATGGCCAACCAGCTACACAGTGCCCCGCCCTTCCGGGCCGAACATATGGGCTCCTTGCTGCGTCCCGACAACCTGCTTGCGGTGCGTGAGAAGATCCGCGATACCGGTATCTCGGAGCAGGAGGCAGGTCTGCAGGCCGTTGAGGAGGAGACTGTTCGCGATGTTGTCAAGCTCCAGCGGGATCTGGGCTACAAGGCTGTCACTTCTGGTGAATTCAACCGGACCCGTTTCTGGGGACAGATGTGGGATGAGTTCGAGGGTAGGGTTCATCATTCCGATTCTGTTGCCGTCGATCATACCACTGATAAATGTATCAGGCACCATCCGTCTTCAGGATGCTGAAGCCTCCATGTTCAGACTTTACCACCCCGACGTGGTCAGTCTGATTGAGAAGGACCGCAAGGTCATGCCCGGCGACTCGGTGATCGCTGGAACCAAGCTTTCCTGGAGCCCCGAGAAGTCGGTGTCGAACCTGCACGAACTGAAGCTGGTCCAGCAGGCCCTGCCTGAGAGTGAATGGCACACCATCAAGCTGACCATGATCACTCCCGCCTGGTTCCATATGCGCTACAAGCAGGGCAAGGCTTACACTCCCGAGGCCTACGCCAACGATGAGGAGTACTTCCAGGACGTCGCAAAGGTGTACCAGGCCGAGCTCGACGCCTTGTACAAGGCTGGACTGAGAAACGTCCAGTTCGATGACCCGGGTATGGCCTACTTCTGCTCCAAGGCCTTCCGCCAGGGCTGGGAAGAAGACAAGGACAACATCGGCACTGTCGAAGATCTGCTTGACGCCTACATCAAGCTGTACAACGACTCAATCAGCAAGATCCCTGCTGACATGCACACCGGTATTCACCTTTGCCGCGGTAACTTCATCGGAGGCAGACACTTTGCGGAGGGATCTTATGACATCATCGCCAAGAAGCTGTTCGAGAACCTGAACGTCAACACATTCTACCTTGAGTATGACACCGAGCGTGCAGGTGGTTTCGAGCCCCTCAAGTTCTTGCCCAAGAACAAGAACGTTGTTGTCGGTGTCATTAGCACCAAGCTTCGCGAGCTGGAGGACAAGGAGGCGATGAAGGAGCGGATCTACAAGGCCGCCGACTTCGTCAGCGCTGGTAGTGGTGAGACTCGCGAGGAGGCCCTCAAGCGGATCTGCGTCAGCCCTCAGTGCGGTTTCAGTACCCACGAGAGCGGATACCCTCTGAGCCTGGAAGACGAGAAGAAGAAGCTGGGTCTGACTAGGCAGATCGCTGATGAGATCTGGGGACAGCCTTGAGCTTCGCAAAGCAGCGATTGGGGCGGTACCTTCCGGCCTTTTAATAGAGAAGGAAATGTGATGATGTGAAATGAGTTATGTATTTAACAGATGTGTCATATTAGCACGTGGCAAGATGATGTACATATGGGAGTGGTGAGGGGTGCTTCGGTAGGCGCAATTTGATGAAATTAGGCTGAGAAGCATGCGTATATGTAGTGACATGACATACCTCCACTAGTAGAGGTGAACACAACTTGATCGAGACTTATTACCATTGCAAAGCGAGCACGCCCGATACCGCATCATTGTTCCCCAGGATTCATACTCGTAAGAACTACGCAAAAGCAAAAATATGACATGTAATATGTTCACCGCTAGCACCCCCAAATGGCATCAATTACAGCACGTATCCAAACTAGTTTTGGCTACGTTTAATTCTCATCGCTCAGGATTAAAGGCTGGGATTTACTATTCTTCGTCACCAACCAAGACAAGACTCTTGTTTGACGCATTGCCTCACTAGGATTCAAGCTCCACGCCCGTGCGGTAGCCAGACCAAAACACGATGTTTGACGTGGAAGGAAAGGTAAGCGTGTTACTTTTTTCGAATTCCAGCTTCCGGTGGGTTACTGAACATAAATCAGTATGTCCTTGTGGCAGGTGGCTCCAAGGGTCTCGGGAGGGAACTCTCCTTGTCGCTGGTAAAGAGAGGTATGTTGAAGAAGAATTCCATGCCATCGCATGCGTACGGCAGGCACTGACCAACGATCCACTACCAGGAGCTCATGTGACAGCAATCGCACGCTCTGAGAATGATCTGGACAAACTCAAGGTGGATATGGACGCTGTGCGCGTACACGAAGACCAAGTCCTCAGTATCCAGCGATTGGACTTGACAAATAGCGAAGAGGTCCGTGTGATTAGTATCTCAGAATCAAAGAAAGAACGCTTTCTAACCAGTATATATTTGACCAGGTGTCCGGATTTATCAACGGGTTTGAAAAACGCATAACTGCCCTCTTCTGCATCGCAGGCGGTGCCGGCGAGGAAGTGGGCCACTTTGTGGACATTTCCGCGACATCGATTCAGAGCTGCATGGAGAGGAATTATCTCACAGCGGCGTTCATTTCTCAGGCCGTTATGAGGACCTGGGCGAGTGAACTGAAATTGGAAAAAGAGTGCACCGAAGTTCAGCAACGACGCCACCTTATCTTCACAGGGTCCACGGCGGGGATAGTGGCAGTCCCAGGGTACGCCGCATATTCACCATCGAAGGCGGCTGTCCGCTCCTTAGCCGATAGTTTGAGGCAAGAGAGTCTCATGTATTCTCCGGCTGGATCTATACAGGTTCACTGCAGCTTTCCCAAGATATTCATGACAGAAAGGATCAACGTACAACAAGCACGGAAGCCGCAGATATGTAAAGAGATTGATGGCACAGCAGACAAAATCGGAGGGTTGACAGTCGAGGATGTAGCTCGGCAAATTCTTGCAGGGCTTGATAAGGGATGTTACATGATCCCGACGGATTTGCAAACACGGTTTCTACTGAATAATATGCGTGGGCCTAGTCCGCGGGACAATTCCTTGGTTGACTGGTTGCTGAGCTGGGCTGCTTTGTTGATTTATCCCGTTGTGGCTACGATTGTGGATTGGAAGGTAATGAGGTATGGCAGACAGCGGCGTGAGTGATTTAATATTCATTCATACGATGGAAAATACTGCTTTTTCATTCTTTTGACTCATATAGAAGGATATGAAACGCACTGTAAATGCAATTAATTAGGATTAATTATGATACTATCGCCAGTACAGTGGCCTCCGCATTTACGTCACAATATGGGAAAAACCACCCAGGGGATGGAGAAAAACCCATATTAAGGCCCAGAGATAACCCGAAGAAATCCAAAAATTTCTGGACTGCTAGTTAGCACCATCCCTTCTGAAAATATCTAGGAGCAGATGATAGAGGCGGCAGTAGTTGCAACTTCTGCTGAGCATCCCGGAGGGGGGTTGGCCTCGAAGTCAGCTACATATAGACCAAAGGTACACAAAACCGGTCCGCCACATTGAGGAACACTATAATGTGGTTTCTAAAGTCAGACTATGTTCTCTGAAACGGTCGGAATGTGGAGTTTCTTGTACCCATATAAATTGCAGGCATGGGGTGGAGTGGTTTCCGCTGAGCCAAGGTGGTGGAAGCTGTGGAAATAACATCAGTATAAAGCTCATCTGCAGAGACGATGGATTGAGAAGCATACTGGTTGAGGTCCAGATCGTGGCAATTGGTGTCGAGGATATTCTGTTGGGGACCTCCCCGATCTGGTTCACTCCAAAGGGAAGCCTGATTTAAATGGTTGCGTCAGATCTGAGTATGGCAGCAACCTTCACAGATATGAACTTACATGAATGGTAGTATCAACCTGGGGGGCCGCCATGGCCAAAATTGGCATCAAGGTGGTAACGGCAATAAAGAGCTTGGAGAACATTTTGCTGTTTTGTTCACCTTGGACTATCTGTTTGGAAGTTGCACAATTGAGACTGAAGATACAACGGAGAGGATGACTTGTTGATTTGGAGAATTGCCCTGTATAGAGGAAGAGAACCTCTTATTTATATTTATTTCTGAAGGAGTGCTCACCAAGAGTCAACAATTGTGTACACCGGGAGATGTGTACGTGGTTGCACTCTGGGATACTTGTACAACATGCCAGCTACTCTGCGTCATATTTGAGCGAGTAGCCTTTCAATTTCTAAATGCTCGTATAGCGAGTATAGCGAGTATAGCAGAACATGTCTCTGTCTAGATGTAGGTTGCACGAGAGCGTACCTTCAGCCAGCCTCATGCATTCTTTTGTCCTTTAGGGATGAAGTTATTGGATTGGTAACTTACTCTTCCCTCATGTCACGAGGGCAGCCTCGATATGCATTCCGAGTAACCCATCCGCTTCGCAATGGAGGCATATCTGGTAGCTATGAGCTGTACACACCGTGTATTATAATGTTGATATTCAGGAACGGCTCCATAGTGGGACTAGGAATGAAAGCTTTGGTAACAAGCATGTGAACTTGAGTCTTGAGGCATTATTAATAATATTTTCGGACTCTATTCTTGGTAGTGTCTAGAAAGAATTGCATGGGACTAAAAACTAACAGTGGAACTACCAGTCTATACCTACTAGTCGTTGTCGATCTTTGTAATTGAAGATGAGGCAATATATCTGTTCATTGTGTTGTTCGTGAACGGTAAACTGATTCCATGATGATGTGGTTGTCATTTTTGGTCAGCTAAAATGAATACTAGGGCGGAATAGTACCCATACAACGATTAGAAGGATTTGAGCTATTTGGGACTGCTAAGCAGCTCAGACCTATGCTGCCTAGCCACCCCTGTCCATAGCGGCACTAGTTAAGTGGCAGATCGGCACTACGGAACGGGATGTCCTCCTGCTTTTATTGAGGGCACAACAACCAACGTACAACCCTCCTTTGAACTATCCGCTTACAGAAATGTATGCTTTCCTGCACTAGTATCACCTTCCAGTAGAGTTATGTCAGACTTCATATCTGGAGGGGCTGCACTTCTCACTGTCAGCCTATCCTCCAACTACCACTTCATGACAGGGACAGCGACTTTGGGCATTTGGTCCCAAAATCTCCTGCTGCTCCTTGTCATCTGAATATTATGGCGAAGATTCGTGTGGCCTAATTACTTTTCTCCACTGCGACACCTGCCATCCCCTCATAGTGGGACCTGAAGAATGACACAACGTCTGCGACTCTATACGGAACCCCGCGGAAAACCCCAGTGTGACTGGTATGTGGAGTAGTCCCTGTCCTCAAGAATACTTCGGGGTCCCCTCTACTCCCCTCCCCGCATTTTGGCTTTCTCCGGTTGGTGCTGATCACTGATGGAATGTACAGGGTCAATCACATTCCAAACGATGGTTTGATACGCTACCGTACTTTGCTGAACTCCGACCGACTGTTGGTGACTTCTCCTGAGGCCCTCGCTGAAGTTTTGACGACGAAATGCTATGACTTCAGGAAGCCCAAGTGGCTGGTAGGTGAACTGAAGCAGGTACTAAGGGTTGGGCTCTTGTTAGCAGAGGGAGATGACCACCGAATCCAGAGAAAGATCCTCACACCAGCCTTCTCGTTCCGTCATATCAAGAATCTGTACGGAGTATTCTGGGACAAGTCGCACGAGTTAGTGAATGCGATGACAGAGCACCTGTCATGCAAGGAGAAGGAGCAGCAGATCACTCGACTTGCGTGTGACGAGTCCCCGCCCGGCACCGGCGTGCTCGATATTGCAGATTGGGCGAATCGAGCAACGTTAGATATGATTGGGATTGCAGGTATGGGTCGAGATTTTGGGGCAATCCACGACTCGAACGCGGACTTAGTCCGTGCATATACGCTGGGTTTTCAACCTTCAAAAAGTGCCATCTTTCTTGCCATCTTGCGTCTTCTGTTGCTTGATTGGTTGGTCAATCGTCTGCCCTTTCGACGGAACAAGGAAATACAGAGAGCCGTCCGCACGATTCGGGGCGTGTGTGCCGAGTCGATCCATCAAAAGTCCCAGTATCTTTCAGAGAATAGCAACCCCGAGCATCGGGATACTTTCAGCGTCGCACTCCAGAACGGCGGCTTCAGTGAAAAGAGCCTCATTGACCAGATTAAGACATTCTTAGCTGCTGGACACGAAACGACGGCAACTGCCGTCACATGGGCAATCTATCTACTCTGTGTCCATCGCGATGTGCAAAATACTCTCCGCCAGGAGGTACGCGAGAAACTTCCGAGCCCGGATGACCACAAGAATTCTTTCATACATCAGAGCATCGATTCCATGACCTACTTGAACGCCGCCGTATGCGACAAAGTTCTTCGCTACGCTCCACCTGTACCATTTACCATCCGCGAAGCAGTGGTCGATGCAATGATCCTAAATCAGCCAGTTCCCAAAATCACGAACATAATGCTGGTCCCTTGAGCTACAAACCGAGATGCGCACCTCTGGGCCCCAGATGCGCAGGACTTCAGGCCTGAAAGGTGGCTGAAGCCAGACACTCGAAGTAATGACCCTATAATGGCTTTTTTGCATGGGCCCCGGATTTGTATCGGGCGATCGTTCGCAAAGGCTGAATTTACCATCCTTGCTGGCTGCCTTGGTATGACGATTTGATTTCCAATTGGCGGATGACTGGCTTCTGGACGAGAGACACTTGAATATAACCCGCACAGTAACTGCCAGGCCCGTCAGTGGGCTTCTCGTTAAGGCAACCCCTTTGGTAGGCTGGTAGTAGCTTCATGGTGGATGAACCGTCGTGGAAGTGCATTGTCGGGGGGCTACGTGCTTTCGCACGCACACCACCCTCCTTGGAGTAGCCACCCCTGCTTTCGCTCATACTAATGCTTACGGAAGTATGGATTGCGCTGCCAGCGTCGTGTCTGGCTTATCTTTTCGTACCGGATTTTGGCCCCACTGCTTTGAATCGATATTTGTACTGAACCAGAACGGATGTCTCTGTTTAGAATCAGCCTTTTAAACTACTGATCAAACGCTACCCAGGAGAGAGCCAGATATTCCCATAATTGCTTCGCAGTCAATTAGACGACTTGCGCTCACTTCTGGCTGAATAGAAGTTTTAAGCTTGTAGCTTAATGTCCAATGGCCCATGCTAAAGGTACTGGTTGACGTCGTACTCTTGCATCTTGGGCCAACAATGTTCAGCTAGGCTTGAGCCCCAGACACAGTATAGACCACCCTGCATAGTACTACTGGTATCACGAGCCCCACGAAGATGATAGCCATTAAGCACTGGCAATTTATTTGACTGCATATTAAAGGTCCTAGCGAAAACAGCCAAGTAAACACAGACTGGTCCAGAAACTGATGAGTGAGTAATGACTACTATCTTCCTGATTTCTGGCAGGCCTTCATACCCATTACGTACCCCCTTCCGCTCACACATTCTGCGAAACGAACTTCTTCTTCAGCGCCTCGATTACCAGCATCCCTAAAGTAGCAATAGACCCCGCATTCAAGATCTCCAATGTGCTGATCTCAATGCCGCCCAGACTTCTCTTTATCCAGTTCCTGATCTCGATTGTGACAAGGGAATCGACGCCCAGCGCGGCTGGTGATACTCCAGCATCTAGATCCTCCAATGGCTGTAGCATAAAGTTGTAAATCTTGACAGCCAGTTCATGTGTTACTACTTCCACTGAAGCAGGGTCATTAAGCACTGTCTCCGGATCTGCTTCTACGGACGTTAGAAAACTTTTGAGCGCGTCGGTCTCTCTGTTTCCACCACTGCTATTGGCTGGTGCCTCATTGTATATGTTCTGAATGACTCCCATGCGAGGGTCCTTTCTCCACATTATGCGATTGGAAGGATCGGAGAGAGGCTTGTCGCAGCGTAGCCCGATTGTTAATGATCCATCTTCCATTGGATCCACTGCGGATTTGACAATGGCCCAATTGAGTGAATCCAAGAGGTCCATCTCTCTGAGGAAGTACCCGTCCGCGGCGCGAAGAGCATCTGCTTTATCAGTGTTTTTAGCTAGGTAGCCAATGTCGTCCATGAGACCGATGTGTAAGACTGAGGCGGGGAGACCTAGACTCCTGCGGTACTGGACGAAGGCGTTGAGGAATGTATTGGCTGCGGCGTAGTTTGCTTGGCCTGGTGCGCCGAAGGACCCGCTAATGGATCCAGCAGCGAAGAAGAAGTCCAGAACTTCCGGCATCGCATGGTGTAGATTCCATGTTCCTTGAACTTTTGGTTCAATTGCGGCGGTCCAGTCTGAGAGATCCATTTCCATGAATGGCTTGTCTTGAAGTACCATTGACAGTTGGAAGACCCCCTTGATTGGTTTCTTTGCGACTTGGGTGATGTTCATAACGTCTTCTTTGTTTACGACATTGCCTTGAACGGTTTGGACATTGCAACTCTGACATTCTAGCTCTTCAATAAATCGTAGGTCCTGTTCTGATGTTCCGGCCGATCGGGAGAAGAAGATGAGGTGTCTGGCGCCTCTCTCGACTAGCCAGGTCGCTATTGCTCGGCCCAGGCCGCCCATCCCGCCAACGAGTAAATAAGAGGCATCGGCCCTTAGAGTCAAGTCCGGAATAGTCGCAGCTAGTGGCAAGTCCTGCTCTCTTTCTGGAAATGTCACGATGATCTTCCCCATGTGCGTGCCTTTCTGCATGTAACGGAAGCTGTCCTCAATCTGAGAGGCAGGGGAAACTGTCATGGGTGAAATAGGCTTGATGTCTCCCGATTCGAGCATTTGAATGGTACGGACAAGTAGCCTGTATTATTGTGTTAGCGGAGTGGTTTAGTGCACCGGAGCTGGAACATACCGGTGACGCTTCGAAGTGTCAAGTCCATTCAAATCGATACCAATAAAGCTTCTATTTGCCTCGAAGAGACCCATGTTCAACTGGGCCTTTCCAACAATGTCTTCCTTTCCTATTTCAAGCATTTTACCACATGGAGCTAAGCATTGCCAGGAGGCATGTAGACGCTCCCCCGACAAGCTGTTGAGCACCAGGTCAACACCACGTCCTTCAGTAGCAGCAAGGAGATCCTCTCGGAAGGAACTGTCACGAGAATTAAATATATGACTGCGAGGGATACTGAAGGCTTCTGTAAGATAACGGGCCTTTTCCTCGTTTCCGACAGTTGTATATACCTGCACATTGTTAGACACGAACTCAATTAGACTTGAAGTGTCACTGTAACGGGAAATGGCTCACCTGGACTCTACCAATGCTCTGGCAGATATTCAAGGCTGCGATCCCAATGCCTCCACATGCGGAGTGAATCAGCACTGACTGGCCGCTCTGTAGACCACCGACATCTAGAAGCGAGTGGATGACAGTAGCATAGACGGCAGGCAGAGTGGCAGCTTCCTCATATGAAATGTTTTGCGGGACCTTGGCGCATTTCGTAGCTGAAATCGTGATACGGGTTGCAAAGCAATTTTTGTTGATGTAAATGACTCGGTCGCCAATGTGAAGGTCGGTTACTCCAGTACCTACGTCTGTTACCACACCGGAGCCTTCCAGCCCAATATCTAATTCTTTATCTTCAAGAACTCCCATAGCAAGAAGCACATCCTAGAATTTTGGCTCAGTATTTCCTGAGGGTGACGGAGTCAGGAGATTACGGGGGTTCCTACTCTAAAGTTCAGGCCTGCGCAACGCGGCTGAATGACCACTTCACCGTGCTCAGGTTCTCTTGTTGGCAAAGGGGTCCATTGTAGAGTTTGCAATAGTCCGGGGCGCCCGATGACCAACTTAGCAGCGCAAGGCTTGGATGCCGTAATTGCCAGGTCGTGGGCCACTGAGGCCGGATAATATCGTCCTACTAGAATGGTCCCATTACGGATAAAGAACTCGCTATCTGCATCGAGTGATCCCAGTGAATCATGGCTGTGAAGGCTTTCGAATATCTTCACAATCAGTAGGCCGAGTGGATCTTTGAGCCAATTTGATTCCAGGGTTGCGAATGAGACAGAGTTCTCTGCTCGTAGCGTTCGAGCGAGGCCAAGGGTGAGGCCAAACTCGGGTGATGAACTTACTTCATATTGGGCCGCCGGAATGAGCCACAGTATCTTGCTGTTCCCTTGTCTAGCCACCATTCTCTGGAAGGCTATCAGATCTTCGTGGGATATGTTCGCGAAGAGCGGTGCTTCGAGCTCCAAAACCGAGATAATGTCTTGATCCGGTGGAGGCCCATCTTGAAGTGTGCTCAAGTCGACCTGATACCCACGGATCGTTAGCGTATCTAGGAGATGCTCAATATTCTGTCCGACATTGTGGAGTAGAGTCACGCGATGAATATTGGGTAGGAGTTGTGCAGGCCGATAGATCATATTGACGTTGATGTGATATGGGCGAGGGCCGTCGAAGACTTCGGCAGCCTTCGAGTACCCTGCCCGTTTCAGAGCGTATTCCCACTTGTGGGGAGGCATGAACGGCTCATCAACTCTCCCATCATTCTCGCCCAGCCACCATCCTGGCAATATTCCCATAATTCTTTGTCCAATTGGTCAGCGTGGACTATGAAATAAGAGGAGCTTAGTATAAAGGTTGGAATATGAGACTTACAGGCTCGTAGCCCTTATCGTTGGGCATAATTCTTGCAGAAATAGGTAACCTCGGGGAGCAAGTAGCTTTCGCACGTTCACCAGAGTCTCGTGGATTATGGGAGTGGCATGTAGAACATTGCTTGCAATGATCAAATCGTATGATTTGGCCTCAAAACCTTGTTCGATTGGGTCTTTCGTGATGTCAAGCATCTTGAATTCCAGTCCTTGATATTCTTTGAACCTCTCCTGCGCCGCGGGAAAGAATCCAGCGGAAATATCAGTAAAGGTGTACAGCGAGTACAGGCGGTCACACTCCGGGCCAGAGGATGTGGTTAGACCTCGCAGGGCCGTTGCCGTGACGCTTCCGGTGCCAGCCCCAATCTCGAGCACCCTCAAGGTGGGATTTGTATGGCCTGCAGAAGCGAAGAACTTGACTGAGTTTGTTCTAGACTCGGCGAAATCATAATACTTGCCAAGTCCGTTGTCTGCTTGGAGTAATTCAAGACTGTCCACTTGCCCCTGGGTGAGAGCAATGCAATTATCTAGAATCCTGGTGATGAGCTCGGCTACGATTCCAGCGTCGGTTTGCGACACGAGGTGTTTCAACTCGTGAATCAATGCGAGCCGGGCATCAGTGCTGTGAAACAACATCTCCTCTGCATTTGGAAGCAAATCATACTTGTTGTTCCATGCCCTAACTATTTGGAGCCCAATCCACGAGCGGAACTTCTGTAGGTGCTTGATGTCACAGTCCAGATGGAATGTCCGATGGCCTATCTCAACCATACACAGAAGTGCCAGTTTTTCCAGTCGTTCAAGGTTTGTTGAGCCTTTTTTTGAGCCCTCACTGGTTTTAATCATGAAATGTATCATGTTCAGTTGAATGTGGGGCTT